AATCACAGGCGCAGGCTGAGCAAGGCACTGGAAGAAGCCTGCACATCCCCAAGCATGGGTTCTGCAGGTCAGCCACCTCAAAGATAGTGGGTTTCCCAATGTCCTTGTGTGCTCGGTTTGGGCTGTTTTGGGCAGCCAGGAGAAAAACCTGAATCAGCAAATCTTGGGGTGATCAACATTGCAATATTTTCAATGATAATCAGTGACTCAGTGATAGTACACGGACTCTATCGACCAACCGACACGTTTGTGCAGCCAGAAGTCCAGAAGCCGGCCTCCGCCAGCTCAGGCAGCCAGATTACGATTCCGATTTCTCGTTTCGATTAGTTCGTCCGAAAGGATTTTGCTGCGCTTGTCGGAGTTTGCTTTTTCTGCAGATGGCTCCACACAGGCTGCAGGCTTTCGATTTTGTCTTGACAGGAAGTCATGAAGATGCTAAGATTCTGAGGCCTGCAACTGCCTGGAAACCTCGGGGGCTCGCGGGTTGGACTCTTGGTAGGCGTACCCAGGACCCAGGGAAAATTTGAATTGCAGAACAGCACTGATCATTGAGCGCAAACACGTAGTTTCCCTGCTTGCATGGGCCTTGCAGAGACAGCCGCGTACCCAGTACCCAGAGGGAGTGTGTCACAGTGTGACGTGTGTGCTTCGCTGCCTTCGCATGACTTTTAGAATCAGGGATTAGAGGCATGCAGATGATGAGTGGCGGTTCAATGTTATTTGAAGAAGGGAAGCCCGAAATTCAATCCCAAAGGCGAACACGTCACTGTCACCAATCAAAGTGTAAGCACCAGACCGAAGCCGAATACTGCAACCGATCAGGCGATGAGGACCTGAGTGATCAGAGCCGAGCCTAGCCGAACAGTGCACATGAATGCGGAGAGCGAGCAACGACTCACATTTCGGTGGACTGCACTGCCCAGGTCCGCAGATCTTCGCCTTTGCCATCGCTCTGCCGCCAGCGCTTCGATTGTTGTTCGGTTTGGGTTTGGGTTTGGGGGTTGGGTTGAAGCCCGAAGTCCGAAGCTTTCGTTTGCAGCTGAGCACGGAAAGTAGCATCTGATATTGTGGCGGAGCCGGCGCTGCCAGGTAACCCGCTGGACGATCTTCATTTTGTAGGGGGTCTCAGATTCTCAGATTTTCTGACGTTGTGCTGTAAAGTTCTTTCTGGGTGGGTAGGAGGTAGGAGTGTGGTTTGAGATGTGAGGACTCAGTAGGTGGATCGATTCCATTGGTGGCTTCTGCTTTTGCTTTGACTTTGATCCCGGCTGAGGCCGAGCCTCAAGCGGAGAAGGGCCATGGGCGATGTGGGCCATGTGAGATGGCCGTTTCCTTACAGCCTTACAGCCTTCCAGTGCTGTTAGTGACTGCTGCTAGTTAGCTGTTAGCCTTCGGTTCTAGGGTTTCGCGACTTACTTTAGTTGATCGAAAAGGGATTCAAAGGGTCCATCTGTCCAGTGAGTGCAGTGTCAGTAAGCGTGCTTTACTTTCCTTGGCCTTGGCTTCTGTTCTGAGCTTCCATCCCGGTTAAGGCTGAAGTGCTGAAGTGGACACATGCTCCTGGTGAATGGCAGCCGCTTCCTGAGACTTGCAGTTGCAGTTCCGAGACAGTGCTGAGTGGTGTGTTGGTACACGATTGAAGTCACTGTGCCGCATTGCGAAAACACGCCGTTGCAATTTGGCACTTGCAGTTAGGGCAGTTAGGGGCCTGAGTTTTGGAATTTTGGATGATTAGATTAGAGGGTTTGGGCTCCTTTAGGCCTTAGGCTCCTTGTTGAAGCTCGTTACAGCAGAACTCCTGATTATGTGGGAGATTCTGAGAGATGCAGGTGTAACATGACATATCTCGAATGAGCTGTAGGTAGGCCCAGGTAGGCTTTGCCATGTCCATCATTGGCATTGCAGCAACCAGATCCGAGTTCTGGGCAGTGCCGGAGGGATATTCTGCGCAGCATACCGAGGATGCCTTTGGGGTTATCCGCCCCGACGGCAGTGTTGCCACCTGGGGCGGCCGTGGTGGTCGTGTCAGCACTGCTGTGCAGGATCTTCTGATCGAAGTGAAGGCAATCCAGGCCTCCGATTGTGCCTTTGCCGCCATCTGTGGCGACGGAACTGTCGTGACATGGGGCAGCGAGCTCGGGGGTGGTGACAGCCAGGCTGTGCAGGATCAGCTTCAACATGTTCAGCAAATCCAGTCTACGGAGCTGGCATTTGCAGCAATTCGGTCCGACGGCTCTGTTGTCACCTGGGGTTATCCTTACTGTGGTGGCGACAGCAGTGCGGTGCAGCATCAGCTCCAAGAGGATGTGGTTTGCATCCAGGGCTCCAAAGAAGCCTTTGCGGCGATTAAGGGTGATGGATCTATCGTCAGCTGGGGCAATCCCCAACAGGTGCTGTCAATGACTTCTTCGATGCCGACGACCATCTCTATCAGTGCAGCCTGGTGGGCCTTTGCAGCCATCCGATCTGATGGCTCCGTTTTGACCTGGGGACAGCCAAAGTATGGAGGTGACAGCAGCGCTGTGCAGGATCGGCTGAAGGAGGTTCGAGCGATCCAAGCATCGGAAAGAGCATTCGCAGCACTGCTCGCCGACGGCTCTGTAGTCACATGGGGTGATGCTTTTTTGGGTGGCGACAGCAGCGCAGTTGAAGAGCAGTTGCGGAACGTGAAGGAGATCTGTGCTGCCGGTGATGCTTTCGCGGCCATCTTGGAGAACGGAAAGGTTGTCACTTGGGGTGATCCCATGGAGGGTGGCGACAGCAGTGCAGTGCAAGACCAGCTCACGAGTGTGATTGCTGTGCAGGGCAATTGTGCAGCTTTTGCAGCCATCAAGGAGGATGGCTCAGTCGTCACGTGGGGCGAAGAAAGTGTCGGTGGTGACAGCAGTGCCGTGCGTGATCAGCTGCGCGGCGTAAGCTCGATAGCAGCTGGCCGAGTGTGCTTCGCCGCCCTCTGTGGCGGCGAAGGCGGAGGCGGTTCTGTTGTGGTGCAGTGGCCGTTTTGAGTCGTTGAAAATGCTCGAGCGTCGGAGTCGCAGTGCCTGACAAGTTTAGGACCCCAAAGCCTGAACCCTAAACCCTTAAACCCTAAACCCCGAAACCCTAAACCCCTAAACCCTCTTCCATTCTTTGTGCTGCCCAGGCTGGTCTTCATCATCTTCCCACGTTGGCCTGGGCCTTGACCCGGAGTTACGGGTTACTTTTCTGGGCATCCGCCGTTGCACTGCGCTGTCGAGTCGCCCCCCTTCCCCATCTTGCCCAGCTCCCTACGACGACGATTATTACTATTACTACTACTACTACTACTACTACTACTACTACTACTACTACTACTACTACTACTACTACTACTACTACTACTACTACTACAACTACAACTACTACTACTACTACTACTACTACTACTACTACTACTACTGCTACTGCTACTGCTGCTGCTGCTGCTGCTACTGCTACTGCTACTGCTACTGCTACTGCTACTGCTACTGCTACTGCTACTGCTACTGCTACTGCTACTGCTACTGCTACTGCTACTGCTACTGCTACTGCTACTGCTACTGCTACTACTATTGCTACTACTGCACTGCCATTGATCGTTTCGGATTGAGATGCCCAGGTCAGCTTCTTCGGCGTCGGCACCACCGGGCCGCCGGCATCGGTGTGGCGCCAACACTTGGCTTGTTGTTCGGTTTGGGTTCGGGTTCGGGCATCGGGGCTTCAATTTCGCTTCGTTCTGCGTAAAGATGCCTGAGGGTCACTGACAGTCGCGATCGAAGCTACAATGCCTTCCCAGTTCAGCACGGACAGCAGTTTTCGACTTTGTGCGGCACTGCAAAACTTCTTGAAGCTTGCACCTTTGTGCCGAAGCCTGATTGGCTGTGTCTCGTCGTCTGAGGCGCGGGCCCGCTTGCCACTCGACTTCGGAGGCAGGGCACCCAGGGCTTAGTGGCTTAGTATGGGCTTAGGATCCACCTGCCAGTGAGGTCCATTGCCTTCGCTTCATGCACTTCTCAGAAAGCTGAGTGCATGATTTGATGTCTGCGCAGTTGATGCTTGAGCCTTCCCTTTTGCCAGAAGTTCTGAGTTCTGGTTCCGAGCCAAGAGTCGCCAGGTCAGCATATCCTCACGACTCGAAGCCAGCGATTTGAAGGCTCGCGTGGTGTTTTCGGTTTGCATTCGGATCCTTGGCTTCTTGTCGGTCTCTGCAAGTCTTTGCGATGACATTTTTTGGGATTGCTCTTCCCGGGACCCGGATATGTCACCCGTCACGATTGTTCCAACCGCGACTCGGAAGGCGTCGCTTCGGCTTAAACTCATTCAACCCCTTGCATAAACCTTCTGAGCCCCTTCCCTTCTAAAACCGTGTAAACCCTTCACAGATCTCTCAGAAAGTGTCGTATGTGGCTTTTGGAAATCGGATCGGGCCCGTCAGAGAACTGTCAGAAGCCTTGAAGCAAGCGGCCCAAGGCCCAAAGAAACCCAACACCCAACACCTCCGTCGCTGTTCCTGAAAGGTCTGTAGGTCCTGTTAGTTCTTATTTGGGGTATTGTAGTATACTATCTTATCTTATCTGATCTTATTTTGTCTTATAACTTATAGCGTTTTGAGGATCCAGAGACTGCGAAATCCAGCACCCTTGGCCTCAACTGAGCAGATGAACATACCTCCTTGGTCCTTGGCATTAACGGAGTTCCTTTCCCTTGAGGGGTTTATAATGCCCTCTTCCGAATTCATTAGGAGTTGTTGAGGACTTAGAGGGTTTAGAACATGGCCAAGATTTTCGAAACATTGAAGCATGAGTTTCTGTTGTGGGTTGTGGCAGCTCAGCGGCAGCAACGGGGAGTTGTGAGAAACCCAAGCAGATTCGCAAGCCCATAATTTCAATAGCGTTGATTTCTTTATGGTAAGCAGAGCATGGCAGCTACGAGATGCTAGGCAGCGGCATGTTGTTGTTTCGATTTTTTCGGTAACCAGAACATTGCACCCTGAATTGCTAGCCATGGTGTTGCTTCTGCTGGCAGGCAGAAATGCCAGGCTGAACATGCAAACAGAGGGCCCAAGTGGCAAGGTAACCATGAAGTTGAAGTTGCCGGGAAGCCAGTGGTTTTCTCAGCTGGTGCGAGAACACGTTCCGGATTGGGGCAAGGCTTCAGTTTGGACAGACAAAAACACCCGCAGGCATGCTGAGACCGATGTCAGGGTTTTGGTCAATGTTCAGGCCGGCTTGGAACACAGAGGACCATTGACTGCTTGGAGCAAGGAGGAAGCATATCTACATGAGTATCTGCAGCAAGCGTCGGATGCTTTCAGTCTGCGGTGTACGAGCCTGTGCATGTTCCAGGGCCATTTGACGGTGAGTTGCCCACAGCGGCTCTCCAGGCCCATGTGGTGTCCTAGTCCGATCGAGTTGCAGGATTTTTGCAATGCAGCGGGACAACCTGCAGAAGACATATGTGCACACCTTCGCGTCACAGAGGCTGAACTTAGAGCATTTCTCGCAGAACCCGTTTGCATGCAGATTCACGCCTTGTTCTTGACATTGATGGAGAAAGGTGCGTGGAACAGTGTCATGAGCAGAGTTGCATGGTTGCCTTCTGCCAGGGATGCTGCGCACGGGCGATGCATGGATTTCTTTTCCAGGGTTGCGGTGCCAACGCTTGAGTTTCAACAACAGCAGCTGCAGCAGCAGCAGCAGCAGCAGCAGCTTTCCAGTGGCGGGCACAGAATGATGTCGACGTCGAGGCCAGAGGCCGCCGCAGGGGCTTCCGAACATTCTTTGCCTTTCACGACAGAACATGCTGAGAAATTGCTTGGAGATCTGTTGCGCTGGTCGCCTGCGCTTCTTGCAGATCTGCCAGCAGATGAGCGAGCGTCGGAGCAACTTTTGTTAGAAGAGCATGCTCTCAGACTGCAGCGATTTGTCAGATCAGCGGAGCAACAGAGCATCTAGCAGGGGGGCCGCAAGAGCACACTGGACGTGCGCCACTTGGTCAAGTGTCTTTGTGCTGCGATGAAGTTGCGCAACCGGGACGAGTTGAAATCTGTGCTAAAGCTGGCCTTAGACTCGATGCCTGGCTTTGCTGGTTTAGACAGCTTAGACGACTCAGCTTTCAAATTGCCGTCCGCAGCATCGCTTTCGAGGGCACAGTTGCTCGTCGATATGGCCTACTGCTGCTACTGGCAGAACAAATTGGAGAGCATGAAAGGGCCACTGTTCATTTGGTTGGACTCGTCTCCTCAGGGGGGCGTTGACTGGCTGCTCAGTGTGCTGCGGTACGTGCCGGACGCATCACTGCAGGCAGCTGTGTCAGCAGCGAAGCAGATGGAGTCCTCCCCGACTTTGTTTGCGCAAGCACGGGAGCAAGGCAACTCCGTCCTCATGCAACAGATCGCTCAGGCACGTCACGACAATCGCCTTCTCTTGCGTCGCTGCCTTCACATGCATAGGCTGATCCCTGGCGGAGTGGGAAGTGGGGCAGCTGCAGTTGAGCAGAAGATCGCCAGTTTGGTCCACAAGCTGCTGTGTGAGACTCAAAGTTTTTCCTTGCTCAGGCAACTCAACAGGTATTCGGAATAGTGTTGAATTTTGTCTGCTAGAATATTATCTCGAGAATCCCTAGGCTCTAGGATAGACTTCTTTTTTGGTTGGGGCCATTGGGGCACCAACTTCAGCACAGGCAAGTCTTGCAGCGTGTTCGAGGGTTTTGCACGGACTGTGGCACTGAGATGGGAGTCGCTGAAGTCTCGGGCTGCACTGTTCAAGACATTCTGCCACCGTGGATGCTTTCTTGTTATGACTTGGAAATCCATGATGCTGATGCTGGCTTGGATATGAACAGTGGCGCTGCAGCCCTTGCTGAAGGAAACTCATCCATGTACGTATTTCCGGAGGCTCTGATCAGCCCAGGAACCATGCACATCTGCCACAACATGGTTCACGAGGTTGACCAGTCGCTTGGAAATTTCTTGGAGTGGCTACCGGGTTTCAAAGCTGTCGTCCATTTCCTTCACACGGATGCTTTGCGGCAGCGCTTTGTCGGATCCTGCCTTTTGGGGACCCCCTTGGAGTTCTTGAAGCATCAGGTTGTGAAGCTGACAAAGCCCGCCCTTTGGCGATGGAATGGCATTGCTGGCATTTTGCCGGGGCTGATGAAATCCAGGCATGTCCTTCAATCAGCGTGGAATAAGCAGCGATTTCTGAACCCATCCGGTTTCAAGTCTCAAGAGCAGGCAGATGATGTACTGGGAAGGCTTCATGTTGACGGGGCCGGGGCGCAAGAAGAGGAGGAGTCCGGCAAGCTGGACCTCCCTGCCTTTGAAAAGGCAGTCAAAAGCCCTGAATTCTGGCTCTACTCAAACATGCTTTTGCAACTGCACTTGTTGGTCGAAAGAACAACTTCGTGGATGGAGGGCTGTCCGTGTGAATGCCATCGGTTTGCTGCGGGCGGCAAGCATGACTCATCCGATGCAGATGCCTTCCAGGTTGCTTGCCAGGCAGCACGTGTGCCTGTGGAGTCCAGGGTGCGCACTGCCAGGAATTGTCCACTGGCTGGCCAACGATCCGTTGAATTGGCTTCAGGCTCCTGACTCTTGTGTGTGACTTTTGTAGGTCAGTCTGGATATGGATTGGGGCAGTGAAGGGTTCAGGGTTTGGTTTCCCAGGCTTGATAAGGTAGACAGTGTGGGGACCTCAACCTGAAACCCGTTTTCTTGGCCCCGCTTCACAGGTCTGTTCTGGAAAGAGTTCGAAGAGGACAGCAAAGCAACCGTGCAGGATGTGTTGTGTTCTGGGACGACTGTCTTAATCCAAGGCTGTGGCGAAGAGGCCGTGGCAAGAACTCTGGATGATTGCAGCAGGGCACGCACGGCTTTCCACGAATACTTGGAACAGAAGCTTCAGTGCTGGAAGGAGATGCCATGGCGCCTTGCAGCCCTCAACCATCCAGACTCGAACGTTTGCCGACAACATGCTAGAGAGATCTTGGCTTTTCTCGAGAGCAGTCCCAAGCAGGCCAATCTTCACCACAGGGTCACTTGGAAGTTTCTGGAGCCAGAGTCTCGCTTGCTTGCGCAGCTGAAGCAGTTTGCAGCAGCAGATGCGGATTTGCAAACTCTGGCGGAACTCTCGCAAGTGGTGATGGAGCTCCGCTTCATCCCCACTTGTGAGAGGCTCCAGGAGGGTGATCATGCTGTCGTCAAGAAAGCCTTGGGGGATCGGCGAGCTTCTGGGCCTTACGTGTCCATGGCCATCCGCATGCCGGAGATAGAAGATTTGTTCGTGAAGCCGCAGGATTGGCAATCCTTGCTGGCGCAGTGGCCGAAGATCCAGCAGCCGGATCTGGCAGCCAGAAGATTCGGGCTTGCTGGACATCCCGGCTACAGGGCCGCCTGCGAAGACAAGGCCGGGAGCAAGGAGAAGCGTGCGGTGCTGGCCGTGTCGCTCTACAACCTTGATCCTGAGCTCCAGTTCTCGAATAAATCAAATCTTCGGAAGAAAAAAGCCACACATGCGGATCGCCTCAAAAAGAGCAAGCTGAACTTCTTCAATCAGCAGAACCCGGAGTTGCACCAGTGGAGTGTGGACAATGTGGAGCACAGGGCAGCGGCAGTACACCTTCACACACGGATGGAGGCGGGTCGTCTGTACTCAGCCCCGCCAGACGCAGTTGCTTTGCCACCTTTGGAACAGAAGCTGAAAGCCCTTCGTGCCGCACCAGCCTTGCAGCCCGAAAGCGCTTTTGCGCTGGAAGCTGACGACGGGGGCGCGTGGATGCTCCCGGACAAGACTAACCCATTGGACTTGTCTTTTTGATGTTGCATGGTACTTTTTTCACTTTTTTCTATGGGTATTTAGACCATATATGTCATATAGAGAATAGACCGTAATAGACCTATCTTTTTCAATCCTATTCAAGCATAAACTAGGTCTGCCTTCGATGGTCACCGTGATTCACAGCCGGTCCTCGACGTTGCCAAGGTGGATGCAGAAACAACTTTGCCGTCGGGTCCAATCACGTTCTTCCGGCTGAGTTCTCAGAAGGGCGGCAGGCGAAGGCTGGTCCCCTTGCCTGCGGCGAGTGGCCAAGGTCTTGCCGCAACAGACGTCACCGTTTCCATGCATGAGTTCTTGCAGCAAGATGGTTCCTGTTATGTCAAGGTTGAAGCCAAGAAAGCTGCAGGCGTTGTGTCTCCAGCAGCCGTGATATCCCTTGATCCACAGAGTGCGAAGACCTTACCCTGCAATTTGCAGAAATGGTCTACTTGCAAGAAGCTCGTGTACATGCTGACGGGCTTCCCTGTTACAGATGCAGTGCTGCAGCTACTTGAGAAGTTCGTTTCCAAGTGTGCTTTTCCAGATGCAAGCATGGAGCATCATGTGCTTGTGCTGCGAAGCGATTCAGAGATGTTTGCATTGTGCCAAGAACTTCAATCGCAAGGGTTCGCCAGATGTGTCAGAGAAGTGTCCGATGAAACATGGTGGGTTTTGACTGAGCGAGCTTTAGCCAATCTTGTGCACATGCACGAGATCTGCCGGCCTTCTCTCGTCTTCCCCCCGGTAGAGAACTTGCTGGAGCTTGTTGCAGCGGATATTTCAGCAGTGAAGGAATTCACATCTTGGGAAATGTTCAAAGTCCTCGAGCACAAGGGCTTCCAGCTTTGCAGACTCCCACAGGCCAAGAAAGCAAGACGTGCACTTCCACCTCTCACTTGTCAGACCGAGCGGCCAAAATGGTATGTCCGTGACAAGACTTTGCAATCCACAGCTATGCAGCTCTACATGCAATCCTTGGTCGTTTCAGACTCTCTCTTCGCGGGCCATGTGTCCTGGACAGATTTGATTTAGTGTGCTCAGACGCCTTACACCTTGTTTCAGCTTGAAACTTTCCTCCCTAAATTCCCTGAACCTTTCCCAAAGCTCCAGAAGTTGAGTCCCATGTTCCTAGTCTTCCAAGCCGTCCAAGCCCAGGTCTCTTGTATTCACCACGGCCAAAACATGCGGTATTATGCTGAACTCCTAGATGCTGAGTCCATGGCAACAGGGGATCTGCCGGATGCTGTAGAAGATGCGCAAGATAGCCAGAAGCTGGAGCTGCAAGGCGCCCAAGATGAGGATGCTTTGATGTGCATGGATGATGCGGTCGCAGAGAGCGAGCCAAGACAGGCGTCGCCCCCGAAGCCTCCGCTTCCACTTCCATTGCCGCGGCATCGGCCCGCATCCAAGATGAAGGATGCGATCATGACGAGTTCTGAGGCTTCTAGTGACGAGCATATTGCGGATGTGCACGACCCACCTTCTCCTGCTTCCAGTGGGCACTCAGAAGCGGCAGGTGTTTCTGATTGGTTGTTTGAGGATGATGGTGGAAATGCAAAGGGGGAGGATCCAACAGTGCCGGCACCGCCTGAGGAACCCTTGAGTCCTGAAGCCTTGCAGCAGCCCTTGTGTTCGTTGGACTGCCAGGACTTGCACCCAGGTCCCCAGGTGATCATCTGTCCGATTATTCCCCTTCGTTGCCTCCTGATGAAGATCATGATGCAGACAACGGCCTGACAGCAGAGCTGCTGCAACAGCTGGGGTCTGAGAACTTCGCTATCCCAGGTGATTCTGCACAATCCGAGCCCGAGGTGCCGACTGCGATTTCCAGAGCTGTTGAAGCCCATGGAGACACAGGGGATGCATCATCGATTCCTGCAGCGGTCGAACCTGTCACAGATGCAAGGAATGCACCAGCGAATCTTTTAGCTCCTGATGTTCCGCCAGTCCCTGCGCCTCCGATTCTTGAAGCTGGAGAAGGTGCCTCTCGTGTCCCGCGAGCACCGAGGCTTCACCCTGACTCGTTCGCTTGGGGGGCCTTCCGCTTGACTTTCTCGGATGCCTCCAAGCGACCGCCTCACGGACAATGGCAGGCCAAGTGTCGGTTTCACATGCTGAACCAGAAGACCTTGTGCACGTGAGCCATGGGCGTGGGGCCGGATGAGGCAAGCAAGGACCTGGCTTTGAGGCTGCTGAAGGGCTGGTGTTTGGCAGCCCCGCTGCATGAGCGCAAGAGCACACATGCAGCGATGCCGCTACAGCAGAAGGATGCCTTGCCGCATGAAGTTTTGGATGTCAGGCTGCGTGACATGCCACCCGTGCCTGCCAACGTGGTGTCGGATGCCGATCTTGATCGGGCCGCGGCCGACAGAGCGTCCGATACCACGTTGGCAGGCACAGGCAGGGGGGCTGACATCGCGGACATCCATCACGCTGCCATCGCTGCACCGAGAGCTTCGACAAAACGGAAGCGGGGAGCTGCTGAGTCTTCTTCTGGGAGACCAAAGGCCAAATCGGCAGCCAAGGTTGCAGCTAAACATCAGCCAAATCCAGCAAGAAGCAAGGCCAAAGCGAAGGCCAAGGCAATGGCAAAACGCAGCTTAGCAAGCAGCAAGGCGGAGGCCAAAGCCAAAGCGTCGGCTGCCAATGCCCTTCTTGATGAGGCAGGATCAGACCCGCCGACCAGCAGCGGCGGCAGCAGCAGTGGCAGTAGTAGCAGCAGCAGCTCATCAAGTTTATCCACGGACTCAACATCCGGTTGAGGAGCGTTCCTCATGACAAGATATGCATCTCCGGTCCATACATCTTGATTCTTGTGCCAGAAAATGCAGTCACCAATAGCCGATCAAGTGCACAAGTTGCGACGAAACCGCAAACACGGGCTCGGTTTTGTCTTGGGGTCATTGAATAGTGCTAGGGTGATCGGGTGATCACCTGGGGCCGTTTACATCCTACCTTGAGCAGCCAGGAACCGACATCAGCGGTCCGACTGGACTGGTGCCTGCGATTGTCGGCGAGAGGCCTCTGGACTGTGCAGTACAGTTTGTTGTCCATTTAATTATCTGATGCTGCAAGTCTGCAAGATCTGGTAGTAGTAGGGTTCAGTGTGCAGAAAGAGGTCGTTGTGGCTTTGGCAATGCGCAGGGAAGATCCTTATCAAGTTGGTGTCTTTTGCTTAAACGAGCTGAGAAAGGTTGTTGCAATGTTGGCTGCATCTTCTGACTTATACTGGGTTGTTAGGAGTGTGAGAGTCCTGCAAGTAGATGATCTGTGACCTTTGCCACTCACCCGAAGAGCTGCCCGCTCCCTCCAGGCTGGCCCAGGTGGACCGTTGCATCGGCGCAGGGATCTTAGAGGTTTCGGGGTTTCGGTTGCAAGGCGGGTGTTGCGTAGGTCGCAAGGTAGTGCTCAGAGTGCGCTTGTGCCAGGAGTTTGGGGTTCTTAGGAGGGTCTGGGGTCTGGGGTTTGCTTTGCTTGGCTCCGGCGCTCCGCCCCGTTCCCGGAACCTTTCGCTGTGCCCACCCACACTCAGGTCGAGTGCGACTGGCATCGTGTGGCAGGGAGCTGAAAGATTTCAGGGTTCGGGTTTGGTGCAAATTGGAAGGCCTGGGTTTTGCGTGTGCTGCAAGGTTGTGCTCGGAGTGCGCGGGTGCCAGGAGTCCAGGAGTCCAGGAGGAGGGTGTTTGGGCTTCTTATAGGTGTTAGGAGTTAGGAGGGTCTGGGGTTTGCTTGGCTCCGCCCCGCCCCAACAACCAAAAACCCCGGCCCTGCTCGGTGTGCCCAGGTGTGGAGCGAGTGGCATCGTGCAGCAGGGAGCTGAAAGGTTTCAGGGTTTGGGCTGGTTTTTGGAAGGCGGGGGGTTTGCCGGTTTTGCGTAGGCCGCAAGGTAGAGCTCGGAGTGCACGCACGTCTGTCAGGGCCAAGGCATTTGGGAACTTAGGATGAGTAGGAGGGTCTCGAGTCTCGTGGTTCCCCTTAACTCTTGGCTAAAGGCCTAGTGGTCTTGAAGTCTTGAACCATCCCACTGGAATACTTTCTCCAACTAAACCATCCCAAACCCTAAGAAAAAAACTCCGATACCGATGGGCTTTTGTGCGTAAGTTTCCTTGCAAACACCCTGGGACCAGGGGGATGGGTATGATGGTGTGGGCTAGGCTGTTTTGCTTCTCTGGATCTCGTGTTTTGCTACTACTGCTGCTACTGCTACTGCCTACTGCCTACTGCACTACTGCACTACTGCACTACTGCTGGTACTACTACTACTACTACTACTACTACTACTACTACTACTACTACTACTACTACTACTACTACTACTACTAGTTGTAACTGTACATAGTCTGCGGGCTGGCTGTTGTGCTGTATGCTTTTATGCATGCTCTTCTGTAATTCGTATTCATAACATTTTTGGCTCAAGTGAGCACGGCAGTGTGTCGTTGGTAGCTTCTCGTTGCCACGACGCAATTGCGCGCAGCCCGTCCTGGGCGGACGTTCGACCTGTCACGGTCGTTGGACTTTCTGCTTGGACGGAAAACGAGGGTGCGTGCTGCCCCTTTGGGTTTCCGTTCTCCAAAATTGGGGGCTGTTCTGGGAAACGGCCACCCAGGCGGCTGCTGCGCCGCAATCTTTTAACGTGGCCTCGAAGGCGCGCTTGTCGTGCGCCTTGAGGCCGTGGTCCTGTGTGGCACGGGGCTCTCTCCTTCGCTAGGCGACCATGAGCGCTGAGGTCGCAGGTCAGCCGGAAGGAGCCACGTTGCTGAGGTGCATCGAGGATGGGTCAGTGGAGTACCCGGAGAAGATGCCCTTTATGTACTGGCTCCGTTGGCGTAAGGAAACGGGGTCCCGTCCCACCAAGAAGAAGGACGGACGATCCACGACGCTAGCAGATGAACAGCGTCTGTGGAAGGAGACGATGGAATTCCTCTACGACAACTTCGATGCCGAAGAGGAAGAGGAAGAAGATGAAGAGGAAGATGAGGAAGCTCCAGCTGCGGAAGCGGGCCCGGGTGCTCAGGATGGCGATCCGGGCCCCAGCTCTGAAGAGCTTCTGCCGGAGGCCGGGGTACCGGCTCCGCGTCCTGCCGCTGCGCCGGCGGACGTGGCCGAGACGGCGCGCCGTGTTGGTGCGCTTGCTCTCTCGCCGGTGGCCGGCGGCCCGGCCCGTTCCGGGCCTCCCTCGTCTGCTGGGACGGGTGGTCCCGTCACGGCGGAGACCCTGCAGGCGGACCTGCGGGAGCTCTACCGTCCCGACCAGGAACCGGTCGCGGATTACCTGACGCGGGTTTCAAGGCTGGTTGTGGCCTTGAAGGCGCACCAGGCAGAGGTCACGGTGGAGGATCTTGAGAAGATCACTACCAAGGCCACCATCCTTGCCGAGGAATACGGCAAAATGGGAGGTGACTGGCACCCTGCCAGGATGGTGCGGGCCCTGCGCACCAGGTTTACCGTTGCCGCGGTTTCTCTTGGGTCGGAAGACCGAGAGGAGGTCGAGAAGGAGATCTCGTGCCTCGGCGAGCTGATCTTGGCCCTGGGAGGCAAGAGCAGCGGCGATCCCGAGAAGGTTTGGAGCACTCCTTCTTCTGTCCCGGCCCTGGCGGCCCGGACGGGCGCCGTTGCGGAGTCGGGCTCTAAGTCCGGAGCACCGGCGCCTCTCCCGGTGGACCTTCAGCTCGCGATCCCTGAGGATCCGCAACCTGGTCCGGGGGACTCACCCCTGAAGTCCCGCCTTGCGGCTCTGGAGATAGAGCTCGAAGGGCTTAAGAAGGATAAGCCCGGCGAGCCTCACTCCGCCAGCGGCGGAGCCGGAGAGCTCGCTGCAGCTTTGGCGGCCCAGACCGAGGCGCTCAAGGAGGCCTTGGCGTCTCGCGGAGGTCAGACGTCGATCACGACCGTGAAGACGGACCTCCAATGGCCCTCGCTCACCGACGATCGCTCCGACATCCGGGACGTGGTCCAGTTCTACGAAGAGTTCGAGGACGTCTGTGGCCTTGCCAACAACTGCAAGGGGATGAATTTCCGGGAGAAACTCATCG